AAGTTCTAGGTCATCCCCAGCTACACAGGGAACCTGAAGCCAGGCTCTGATAAAAAGGGTGAACTCCTAAACAGTAGCACACGTCTGTGATCTCAACACTGGGGAGGCTGAGGCAGGAGAATGGTGAGTTTAAGACCATTCTGTGTTACACTGATAGTTCTGGATCAACCTGAACTATATAGCAAGACCCTGTTTTAGAAAACAACAAAGAACCAAACAACAATGATCAGATGATCCAGCTGCAGCCAGAGGTGTAACACAACAGGGAGCATGTGGAGCTGAGGGAACATGGAGCATGAAGGGGCAGGCATCAGGATCTTAGGGGTGTGGCTGGGGACTGTGGGAAGGGAGCCTGGAGATGGAAGCCAGGCTGCTGGATGCTGTAGGAAGCAGGGTGGGGCCCTGGGTAAATCATATGCCTCTGGGACCTATGACATCTGGATTTGAGCCTGGCTATCCTGCCTACTCGATATGTTCTGGGCAAGGCATTTAACTTCTCTGTGCCTCCGTTTCTTCAACTGCGAAGTGGAGAGATACTTTCTTTTCCCTTGATTTTTATTTTATGTATATGAGTGCTTTCCTTTTATGATTGTCTGTGTACCATGGGTATGCGGTACCCTTGGAGGTCAGAAAAGAGTGTTGCATCCCCTGGAACTGGATGTTGGAAGCCTCCACGTGGGTGGTTGGAATAGAACCTGGGTTCTCTAGAAGAGCAGCCAGAGCTCTTAACAGTTGAGCATCACTCTGGGCTACCCCCGGCAACTTCCCCCACCCCCCATGAAGATACTGTTGTAAAGGTTGATTTGGGATAAAACTATTCAGCAACTACCAACGTATTATCAACAAATGTTAACTGAGGATAGAGGATCAAATTTCCCCAAAGCAGGTCTACCATGGACCAGAGAGAAGGTAGGGCATTTAGGTCAAAAGAGACCCGATGACCCAAGGACTCCCAGGGTACCGTGTGTTGAAGGTGGGAGGCTAGAAAGAGAATTGTCTCCTGCAAGGCTGGCAGAAGGTGTGGTTGAACCATCTTTTCTAGCTCCTCCCTTCCTTCCATGTCCCCAGCTTACTCCTCAAGTCACCCTGGGTCAGAGGACCCTGCCGTCCGACCCCTCATCGCTTCTTCCCTCCAGGCACCTGGCGACCCCGCAGGTCCATCATATTTGCCAGCTGGGGAGCGGAGGAGTTTGGGCTCATTGGCTCTACAGAATTCACAGAGGTGAGTGAGCCCCACAAAGGAGTGGGTAGTAGGAGTCCTTGGATGGGGCAGCAATGGACTGATGTCACTTCTCCTCCTCCCACTCTCCCTTGGCACAGGAGTTCCTCAGCAAGCTGCAGGAGCGCGCGGTGACCTACATCAATGTGGACATCTCTGTGTTCTGTATGGGCGGCTCAGGCAGCTGGGAATGGGCTGGGAAAGGAAGGGACTGGATCTGAACAGGCCTCCCTGCTCCTTCCACAGCCAATGTTACCCTCCGGGCACAGGGGACACCCCCTGTACAAAGTGTGATATTCTCTGCCACCAAAGAGGTACAAGGGGGTATGAGGGGCTATGTAGTATAGGGTGGGCAGGACTGGAGCCCTCGGATCTCAGTTGACCTGGAGAGTGGAGGCTGCTGGAGACCCATCTGGTTGTTGAGGCTGGGTTTCCTGAGCCATCAGATTTTCCTCTCTGTACCAGATCAGTGCACCAGGTTCCAGTGGCCTCAGTATCTATGACAACTGGATCCGATATACTAACCGCAGTAGTCCAGTATATGGAGTGGTTCCCAGGTGAGCCCAGAAACCAGACAGGTAGGGGGCCTATAGGCCCAGCACGTCCACCTGCCACCCTCCAGAGCCTTTCTTCTCCCCTCCTCTAGCCTGGGCACGCTGGGTGCAGGCAGCGACTATGCCTCATTCATTCACTTCCTGGGCATCACTTCCATGGACCTTGCCTACACCTATGACCGGGTGAGTAGTCTTCCACGCCACACTCCCTCCCCAGCACTGCTGTGTTAGACCTCAGGGGAAGATCTAGTCCAGACAGGATCTGTCTGGTTCATTCACTAAGCATCTGTCAACTGTGTCTTAGTTTTGTTTCCTGTTGCTGTGAGAAAATACCCGGACAAAAGCAACTTTGAGGAAAAAGGGTTTATTTTAGCACAAGTCTAGGTCCTAGTCCATTAGAGCAGGGGAGTCACAGTGGTGGGGGCTCCCGAGAACTGAGTACACTACACTGACAGTTAAGAGTAGAAAGTAATGAGTAGATGCTTGGTTATTAATGCTCAGTCAACTTCTCCATCCCTGACTTAGGAATGGCGCTGTCCACAGTGTGGCAGTGTGGTCCTTGACAGGAGAAGTATCAACTCAGGACCCCCAGACCAAGTTTCCAGCACAGAGGAGACAGAGGGCAGAGGGCAGGGAATAAGAGGCAAAGACAGGAGACAGAGGATGAGAGAGAGGGGGGTATTTATTCTAGAGAACAAACGACTGTCTCTGGATAGAGAGGAGACACCCGTGGCCCATAGGTAATGGCAGTTTATAAATGTAAAGGGGAAGCCCGTGTTAGGACGAGATATTGAATTTTAATTGGACATGTTAACTAGGTAAGCCAAAGTGTCTTTTGATTGCTGGATTTTATTGTTTTGATAGCTGGACAACCTCAGGAGGGATTGGCTAAATAATAGGATAGACTTTGGTGGCTAGCTTTAGGAATGTAATCTATTAATCCCAGCACTTGGGAGGCAGAGGCAGGCGGATTTCTGAGTTCAAGACCAGCCTGGTCTACAGAGTGAGTTCCAAGACAGCCAGGGCTACACAGAGAAATCCTGTCTCGAAAAAAAAAAAAAAATTAATGTGATCTACAGTTTTTAGCAAGGCAGAGGGAGTCAGGGAGAAGGGCAAGACCTGCTCAAGCTGGCCAGAGTCCCTTTGGTCCTCCTATCTCAATAAATGTAATCAAAATAGACTCCCACATGCCCATAGGCCAATCAGATTTAGACATTTCCTTACTGAGACTCCTGTCCCAGACGTTTATTGTATCAAGGTGACAGTTAAAACTAGCTGTTAGCACGGGCTCCACAGGCCGGCTTTCCTAGGCCTCCGAGCATGTTTCTGCTCATCAAACACTTGCATGGTTGTATTGATTTGTAGTTGCTCTACCCTACTCATTCTACAATGCTCTCACATCGTGTTATGCCTTATTCAGGACAAGAAAAAGGCTGTTGTCAATCATAGGATGGCAGTAACTAACTAAGCAGAACTTAGTGTGGAAATGCTTGTGCGGGTGTCAGCACTAATCAAGAAACGTTAGGGAACAATTCATACGCTGTGGGGATTGAGGTGGGACTCCAGTGCATCCAGCCTGTACCTCCTGAGTGGATGCTCTCAATCCCATCCCCCCGGCTCTGCTGCCCTTGGGTGGTGGAGCTGGGATTCCCACTTCTGACTCCAAAGCCCCAGGCTTATTTGCGCAATAGCAAGCAGGCTAGTCCCTGACCCTCAGCTCCTCCTCTGGAAGTAGAAATTCTGAAGCACACAGCCCACTGTGGGAACCAAGATTTCCCACCCCAAGTCTACCTCTTCCTTATTCCTCTAGAGCAAGACCTCAGCCAGGATCTACCCGACCTACCACACAGCTTTTGACACGTTTGATTATGTGGAGAAGTTTCTGGACCCTGGTGAGGAGGGGACAGGGGCATTCTGAGGCTGACAGAAGGATGGGCTGATGATGCAGCCCTTGCCTTGTGTCCCCTCCATAGGTTTCAGCAGCCACCAAGCTGTGGCCCGGACGGCTGGGAGTGTGCTTCTCCGGCTCAGTGACAGCCTCTTCCTGCCCCTCAATGTCAGTGACTACAGTGAGACACTAAACAGTTTCCTGCAGGTTGCTCAAAAGAACCTCAGCACAGAGTTAGAGAAGCAGAACATCAGCCTGGGTATGCACACCCCAACATGGAGTCATGGGGAGCCCTGTATCCTCAGGCAGGGCTAAGCCAGGTGTTCCCCACCTAGGGCCGTTGGTAACTGCAGTGGAGAAGTTTAAGATGGCAGCTGCAGCCTTGGGCCAGCGCATCTTGACACTGCAGGAGAGCAGGCCTGAGTGAGTACCAGCAGTGGGCAGGTCTGGGAGCGGGCACTTGGCATGCATTGGGCTAGCAGCTCAACTGTTGGCTTGCACAGTAACGCACACGCTCTCCAGTCCTCTGCAGGTACGGATGGTCAATGACCAGCTAATGCTCTTGGAACGGGCATTCCTGAACCCGAGGGCTTTCCCAGAGGAGCGATACTATAGGTGAGCCTATGTCACAGCTCTGGGGAGGGGGGTTGGAGCGAAGACCTACCACCCAGAGCTCACAATCCACTTCACTGACAGCTGGGGAGTGCGGCCCACCCTGCACAGCTGTAAGCCCTTGCTTTCAGAGAACATGCAGGAGTTTTATGCTTGCCTGTTGACAGTGCTGAGTGCAGGTGACCTCTCTCTAACCCCCAGCTTGCCATCTCTCCTCAGCCATGTGCTCTGGGCACCCAACACAGGCTCTTCTGCCACATTCCCAGGGCTGGCCAATGCTTATGCCAGGGCCCAGAAAGTCAACTCCGGACCTGAAGCTTGGGCTGAAGTACAGAGGCAGCTTAGCATTGTAGTGATGGCCCTGGAGGGTGCAGCAGCCACCCTGGGACCTGTGGCTGACCTCTGACCCCAGCCCTGTCCCTTGGGCTTTTTCTTTATCTTGCCTCTCACACCTGTTCCTCTGGGGTATGTCCCAGTCCTTTCTTAGGCAGGAGTGGGTACAACCAGCAAACACCCTCAAGCTTTTAAAGCATGGGGTGTGTGTGTGTGTGTGTGTGTGTGTGTGTGCGTGGCGGCTTCCCTGTAGTTAAAGACACCTGCTCATGGTAGTGGGTAAAGCTTGGGTCCAAAGTAGTGTAGAGGCCAGGCCCTTGCTCAACCCGCCTTCCTCTTCCCCTGCTCTATCTCCCCTCTTAACCCTCAAATAAATGAAGTCTACGAGTCCCTGTTATTGTTTGGGAACCATAATGAATTCCTTTTATTGTTTGGGAATTGTGAGACAGAGCCCACGGAGCTCTGATCCAGGTCTCGTGGGAGATGAAACCCTCTCAAGCTGGAGATCCAGGTCTGTGACTGTCCTTATCTTCCTCTGCCATGACCACTTCCTCCAGGGTGTGTCCCTGAAGCTTGCTTCCCACTAATATGTAGCAGGTACCAGGGGGTGGGAGTCCTTCTTCAGAGTATTGACCCCTCAGGAATACAACTCTGTCTTTATCCAAGGTCAGCCCATGGGCCTGGCACAGGTCTCGTGCTTCCTGGAGTCCATCTAGGGCCAGAAAGTGTACTATGAAGTCCAAAGGCAAGGTCTGTCCTTTAGGAGTGCTCAGGGCACGGGCCAGGCGGGCCAGGGCTTTGCGACGGGCATGGCCGATGTGTTCCTGCACTGCGCAGCTCTGTAGGTAGGGCAAGGTGCGGAGCAGGCGAAACAGTCGGGCATGGTTGTCTTCACGGAAGGCAGCATCCACAGCCAAAGCAGTCTGAAGGGGAGGGCAGGCACGCAGGGTGGCAGGCAGCTGTAGAACCTCCTGCAGGGCTTCCACAGAACCTACAAAGGCAAGAAACAGAAAGAAAAGGATGCCGATGCTTCCTGGATCAGGCATACCTCATCTCACCCTCTCAGACCCAATGTTCACCGCGGGTCCCAGGCAAGCTCATTCCCAGAGCTTGGTTCTGTGTACCTGCTAGCTCTAGTAATATTCCCTCAGAGAGGCTAACCCACTTCCTCTCTCCTCTTCCAAGAAAGATCCAGCCATCAGATCCTTCTCTGGTCTTTTTGAGGTGTTGCAAGACCAGACCTCTAAATCCTTACAAGACAGAGATGGGCGGTGTTCTACATAGGGACACAGGCTAGCCTGAGGCTGTCCTAGAGCACAGGCTATTATGCTACACCCAGACTTAAGATTTTCTAACTTAGGGTTCCCACTGCTGCGCAGTAGCAAAAGGATTCTGGGTGCTGGCTTCGCTACACTTTCCCCTCTATCTGGAAGGGTCAGTTTTTGACGAAGACTCTGCCCTAGTTTCCTTTTCCTTTCAAAGAAAAGGCCACTGAAACCTTGAGCCATTTTTGTAAGTTAGTGAATTTAAGAGTTACTGTGTATGTATGATCCAAATGTATTGTATCCACATATAAAATCACCAAAGAATCTGCCTGCCTCTGCCTGAATCTGCCAAAGTGTTCGGTACAAGGCGCCTGTCACCACGTCCACTGGACTTTCCTATAATTAAATAAACCACCCACAGAAGGGAACCTTTTATCCTGTCAAATATATTTATGGGGCAGCCTACGGAGTACATCTTTGGGAAGCGTTTTCTAGGCCAACTCTCTCAGTACTATCTATCTCCTTCCACCTCTGCTATGCAGAAACAGCCCAATTTGAGAATGACAGTCCTCAGGTCCCACGTCGGGACCCTTACGAACTGACTTTCCCAAGGAGAAGCTATTGCTGAGGGATGGAAGTTACCACACTCCCAAGCTACAGTTCGCCGTGGCTGCTAGTATTGCTTCTCCCCTACTCCAAGCTCCTAAGGTCCCCGCACTTTGTTCTCTGGAATCCGACTCACCCAAGTTGTAGAGCAGAAAGAGGCCCTGAAAGGCAGCCTGGCGGGGGTGCGGGGTTCCGCCCCGCGCGTAGCAGCGCCGCAGCGAACCGAAGCCTTCCTGCACCTGAGTCTGAAGCAGCACCGGGTCCACGGCTCCGCGCGTCTCTTCTGGCCGCACCTGAGCCAAAACGGCCAGCAGCGTGGCCAGCGCAGCCTCCAGCACGGCCGCCGCGTCCGCGTCGCCCACTCCCTGCAGCGACAGATCCAGCCGCACTGCGCGCAGGCGGTCGGCTACGAAGCTCGCCACCTCCGCGCACGACACGTCGGCGCGGCCGGCTACCTCACCGGCCAGGTAGCGCACGGTGGCCAGGAGCACCGGGGGTGGCCGCAGCAGGCTTGGCGGGGGCCGGGGTTTGCCCGCTGCCGGCCGACTGTATTCCTTCACTGTGCGCCTCGGGTCGGCTCGAGGAGCGTTCCCATGGCCGCCTGGCTCCACCTCCAGTCGGTGCAGGCGATGCTCGCGCTCGCGTCGAGCGCGCTCGGCAGCCGGGCACATGTCTGGGCACAGGCCCATGGGGAGTTTGCAGCCGGACATAGCAGGGCTGTGGGTAGAGGACGCACACTCAGCATCGCTGGGCCAGCGGAAGGGCGGCACTGCATCCTGCCGCGGGCTCGGGGAACAGGCTTGGGCCCCAGTCTGGCTGGCCCTACCCTCCTCACGCGGCTTTCTCGGTTTGCGGCTCCCGCGGCCTTTAGAAACGCCTCCCATAATCCACCGCGCCTGGCTTCGGTTTTTCCCCTTAAATCGTCCCATGATGCATCGGTTTGTAGTCCAGCGATGAGGCCACACCTCCCCAGCTCTGGGATTTGTTGGATTGTTTAGCTTTTTGTTCTTAGGGCTCTCAAGTAGGTAGTCCTACTTTGGATATTTCATCATTTCTTTAACACGCTAAACTAGTGCTGCGTGTCTGTCATTCTTCTTTGCTTCCTTGTGCGTTTTAAGACAAGATCTCACTATGTAGCTCTGGATGGTCTGGACGTCACTATATAGACCAGGCTGACTTTGAACTCAATAGTGATCCCCCAGTCTCTGCTTTCCAGTTCCCGGATTAAAGGCGGGGATCACACATTCATAGGTATTGTTAGCATTTTTTCAAAGCTCCACCTCACAGTTACCTGGCAACAGTCAGATAGGATGACCCACTAAAAAGGGGGCTGCTTGCCCCCTCCTCGCTCTCGTTTTTGTTGTTGTTGTTGTTTGTTTGTTTGTTTTTCGAGACAGGATTTCTCTGTGTAGCCCTGGCTGTCCTGGAACTCACTCTGTAGACCAGGCTGGCCTCGAACTCAGAAATCCGCCTGCCTCTGCCTCCCAAGTGCTGGGAGGCTCTTGCTCTTGTTTCTTTCTTGCTCTTTTTCTGCTTTCCTTCTGTCTCCCCTCTCCCCAGCCCTCCCCCTTCCCTCTTTCTCCACGTGCTCATGGCCGGCCTCTACACCTCTTACTCCTCTC